CCACTGTAGTAACCTCTCCTGAAGTATACTAACTTGGGACAAGCCTCTCAACAGACAGTCACCATCTTCGTTACCATACGAAGTGGAAATGGTTTTTCCACCCCAGGAAACCCAGTGTTCGGCGAGAAGATCTAAGCTCATGTGCCCATGAGCAGATCTTAACTGCAGGATCACGATATCACTAATCGTGACCAAAACAACCAGTTTTAAGGCTCCACTAAGTTTTATCTGAAAACTTCTGTGAGACATAATTCTTGGTTTATTCACATAATAACTTTAATTGCTGGATGTTCAGCCCCTGAGCTGTTGACCTGCAGTAACTGTGGTCCCCAGAGCAATTTAGTTGAATAGCCCTGATTTAATCTAAGAATTAAGAGAAAAAAGTCAGAACTAAGGGAAAAAATATAATTTTTTTTGCTCTGTGGTCCTAATTCTTTTTTATTCCTTGAGTCTGAGATGCCTACAGAGAGCTTTAAGATGTGTTTATATCCAGTCCACATAAAGATAATTCCCCCCTGTCCTCTCTGTCGTTCCTCTTGCTGTAGGTATAACCTGGGGTAAGGTGGTCTCCATGTACGCCGTCGCAGGAGCTCTGGCGGTGGACTGCGTCAGACACGGACATCCAACAACGGTGCATGTCTTAGTGGACAGCCTGGGACAGTTTGTGCGCAAGTTCCTTGTTCCCTGGCTGAGGAGGCGGGGTGGATGGGTGAGGCTGACGACAACACACAATGCACAAGTGGTGTCAGAAATGGTTGTATCCAGATTCATGCAACAAGAATTTATTTTATTTCATTTTATTTTATTTTTAAGGAGACACCTAAAGCAAATGAATATATAAAAATACATCTCTGCCTGCAATTAGGAGCTCTGCAGCTTTTGTTACAATATTTGTAAAAAAATAAAAGCCTCTATTAAGTATTATTTCAACTTGTACTATTTAAATGTCCTCACAACCATCATTCATATTGGAAATCTTAATTTTTATTATCAAATTATTTTTTTCTTGGTTAAAAACCTGATTTTTAAAAACATTTCTGATCATTCATCAATAAGCTGCAACTGGACTAATGTAATGTAAATGTGACCCATCATATCGAAATGAGGATTAAGTCAAATTTGGTCAAAATGACCTAATTACATTTTCAGATTAAGATAAGATAAGATGAGATAAACCTTTATTGTCATTGTACAGAGCACAATGAAATTACAGTTCAGAACACCCATTCAGAAGAAGACAGAACATAACAAACATAGGAGAACAGGTGCTCTGGGTCATGCTGCCACCGACCCTACACAGAACAACGATCATCTTCATGAAGACATCATGAGGAGGAGCAACCCTTAAAAGAAAAAACTAAAAACCACACAAGGGAAGATGAGGAAAAAATATATTTTAAATGCAATATTCTGATCCCTGCTTCATTCTGATATCATAAGTAAATCCATATATATGACTTAATTTGTGTTGTTGGTTATGATAATACATAAGTATTTGTTCTGAATCCTAATTTTATGAGATTTTGATGTCCTTTATAAAGAGGAAACCTCAAATCATATTTGAATATTGAGATTTCCCAGTTGAAATGAAACAAAACTTTGCTAGCTGTCATGGAAAATCTCAAAATTTTAAGGCATTTTTTTCTCAAACTCAGGTTTTGTTGCTACTGCTCAAAAAAGTGCTTCAAAATTTTGTTTTATGATTATATTTCAGACAGTTCATTCAAATGATACATTGATAAGGCATTTTTTCATTATGTTTTGACAAAATGCAATTTTTGCAAAGGTTTTAATCAAAACCATACATTTGCCTATTTCTCCATATCCCACTTTGAGACTTAATGCTCATTTCGATGTGATGGATCACAAATGATTGTGAACTGTTATTTATATTTTAATTATTGGAGTTTTTCTACATAAGTTGATTTTTATAAATCCTACATTTTAATTTGTTTAATTGAATAGAAAAAATTTGGTCTGTGTTTCTAAATATTGTCAGTGCCGGAAAATAAAACATTATTACCTGTTTAAATGCAAATAAAGCTATTTATAGGCCTATATGTTGAGTTAAACCAGTTAAGGAAAAATTATTAAAAACACTATGATATTTAATTTAGATTCCCAACAATATAAAATAAGCATTTGAAGGTTTTTATGCCAACAAATTAGTCAAGTTCACATAAATTCATGATACTGATATATGAAAGTGTTGCTTATTAGAAGCCATGAAAAAATCAGCAAAAAGCAGACATATCTGTGTTTTTTTTTTTTTTACTTATATAGCACATTTCATTAACAAGACAATTCATGGTGCTTTAAATGATAAAAACAAAAACAAAAATACATTACAGTGACATAATATGTTTCAGTCAGTATTTTAAATAGAACAAAGGTAACTCTTAGATAAATGTGTTTTCAAACTTTTCTGTGTTCTTACAGTTTCCTAGGAGATTGGTCCAGATTAGTGTGGCATAAAAACTGAACTTGATGCACTCAGGTGGTAAAAGCTTTTGTATTTCTGTGTTTGCGTCCCGTCAGACGGAGATCACAAAGTGTGTGGTGAGGATGGATCTCTTCCCACAACGCCACTGGTTGTCCTCCCTCGTTGAGTCGCTCAAGTATTTCCTCACCACGCTGTACGTCTACATCATGAAGGAACAGTGAGCAGACGGAGAGGAGATGGGGTTTTATTTATATTTTTATTTTTTTGGATGATGGAACTGAAATCTTCGACTTCAGATTGTCCGTTCTGTTGCTGGATGTCCACCGGCGAGTGTGTCGTCCGCAGCGTGCTGGTGTCGTTTCTGCGTGAGGGATTACCCTTCAGCCAAAGAGTAGTCGCCTGGTGTCGTGGCCAGAGACTTCAGGAGGGAATTCAACAACTTAAAAAATGTTTCTAATATTTGCCTCTTCTGCACCAGTTTCTGTCTGTTAACACTGAGGCTTTTCCAGTGGGATGTGAAGCTTTTCATGCTGCTGATGTTAGCAGCCTGATGCTCAGTTGAAGGTGAATGAATTATGTTTTGTGAGAAGTGATGGAGATGACTGTGTTTGTAGCTCGGACAACCTTTCTGGGTCAGAACAGAAGAGTTTCAATCAGCTCTGAGTTTCCACTTGTTGTAGGTTCTGACCTGTTTACACTTGATAAGTATAAGCTTTACTTAACGAACGCCCATTGATGATTTAAAATTACCCTGTAAATTCTGCAGTTTTTTTTCTCCACATCAAGCACTTTTAATATTTTGGGCTTTCAGAGGACAGTCTGAATGTAAATATTTCTGCTATTTTTTGCCTGTTTTTAATTTTTAACCTATTTATTTATAATTTTACGTCTTTTTTTTTACACTTTGGTCATGAGTAACCTTTCACTGCAGTATAATTAACTGTCAGCGTGGATGCTGTTCAGGATGGTTGTGTGGGATCGGTGTCACCTTCACCGTGTTAATTTGCACATGAGTTTTTTTGCTTGTTTTTTTTTTTTTACAACACAATTAAATGAACCAAATACTCACTGATGGACTTTTGTGTTTATTCCGTTGTTTTACCAGCTTTTATTAGTAAGTAAGTAAGTAAGTAAAGTTTTATTTATATAGCGCCTTTCACAGAAATAAATTCACAAGGTGCTGTACATTCAGGGAAGGGGGAAGCGGCAGTTAAGACAGGTCATGTAGCAAACACAGTTGCGCTACCTTTAGACAAACAGAAAACAGAAAAACTGAAAAAAAACACAAGGGAAAATGAGGAAAAAAGCAGAAACATCATATTGTATCAACACTGTGACACACTATGGTGTTTATGAAAAAAACTCTGCATAGAGCAAGATTATTAGCCAGAGGAGTAAGTGAGTTTTAAGGGGCCCGAAGAATCCAGTCCCCAAGGCCAGCGCAGCCAAAGTTCAGACTATAGATGGTCAGTTTTCATTCACGTTTGTCTCCTGCTTTGTGGGTTTACACGTACTGAAGTGGTCTCATTAATCAAAAAATGACTGACTTTTCTATACTTTTTATAGGGATTAAAACATTAAGGACACCAGGATTATAGCTTTTGTACCAATTGTGAATATGGACTGGACTGAACTTACAGAGCGCTTTATCAAGTCCCTCCAGACCCCAAAGCGCTTTACACTAAGTCACTCACCCATTCACACACTGATGATGGCAAACTACATTGTGGCCACAGCTACCCTGGGGTACACTGACAGAGGTGGGGCTGCCATGCACTGGCGCCACTGGACCCTCTGACCACCATCAGTAGGCAAGGTGGGTGAAATGTCTTGCCCAAGGACACAACGACTGAARCAGCTGGACGGGGGATCGAACCGGCGACCTTCTGGTACCAGGACGACTCCACTAACCACTCCGCCACAGCCGCCCACATATACAAATATATTTCAGTTTATATATATTTTTTATAAATGGTTTATACATACTGTATGTTTATTCATGAGCTAAAATTTCTACACATAATCAGCTCAGAGTTGCAATTTTCTTTTTAGATTCCCTTCCCTTTGACTGATTTTTTTGGGGCATATTTTAAATCTAAGGGTGCCGGATCTGAGCACTGAACATGAATCAGTTTTTAACCATTTTGTTTGTGTTTAGCATCAGCAGCAAAGTCAGACTGCATAATCTTTTTTTTTGCAGGAATTTCATTCTATCTTTAATAAACATTAAATCAGAGCTATTCAACTAAATTGCTCTGAGGGCCACAGTTACTGCAGGTCAACAGCTCAGGGGCCGAATATCCAGCAATTAAAGTTATTTTGTGAATAAACCAAAAATTACAAAGATCTGTTACTTTTGAAAGTTTATTTTGCTGCATTTAATCATGAATACAACATACAGAACCCTATAAAAGTAATTAAACAATATCAAAAACAAAAAAAAAGCACATTATGCCTACTATTTGACGCTACCAATTTTATTTTCACTTTCATAGTTTTGTCTTCAACTGCTTGTAGTTTTAACTGTTTTGAATTTTCATGTTTTTACCAACTTGTAGACAAGATCCTGATGTTTTTGTAGATACCAAACATGTCTATGTTTAACTAAAAGAACTCATAGTAAATAAAGTAGAAACCCAGGGGTTTGGAGATGAATGAACCAATTGGCGGGCCGAACTTTGGTCACTCGCGGGCCGGATGTGGCCCTCGGGCCAGCAATTGAATAGCCCTGCATTAATATCTCCACATTTAACCGGAGTTATAACAGGTTTAATAAAGCAGCATTTTATTGTTCTGAGTATCTCTTCTTTCTCATATTTAACAACTTAAAAAACGACACCTTAGATATTCTAACAGAACTCTGCCTGTTTTACCATTTGATGTTACCACTTCACCCTTTTTAAAAGATCTGTCTTGCTTACCACAAACAAACCTCATTAGGTAACACAATGCCTGGTTAAAAATTAAATATACAGTAGTGATTGATTACAGAAAATTGTCATTAAAAAGCCAATTCAGCTGCCAGAATTAAAGACATGTAGTCTGTACACATCGCACCGATACCTGGGTTCCTGAAATACACTAAAGGAGTTTTTTAAAACTGTCAATCACCCAGATGAAGTTTAACATATCACTCATTAAAATGACTAATACATGTATGAACTGCATGAAGTTTAATAACTCAAATCACTGCAGCTAATTGTATCAATTATGAATACATAAAAGAGAAATCTAGTTTTTACCATTCATTAGAGGAAAATAAGAATCACTAAACACAGTAAAACTTAAACAAAACAGTTTATTTAAATGCCTCCAACATGTTCCCAAACCTACATCTGTGCATCTCAACACACACACACACAACAACATGAGTACAGATTGTCCTGATGGCTCTGTGTGAAGGACGGAGACGCCTGACTGGTCGGACCACACGGGTCAAAGCGAGCGGCGGTAAGTGATGTGCAAATGCTGAGAGGGTGGCTGGTTGTCTGTCGCCATGATAACCGTCTGCTCCAGCTTCCCATCTGGTCGGAGCTGAAGGACCCGAGAAATCTGAATAAACAAACAAACAAATAAATAAATAAATAAGATGTTTATGGAGGGAACGAGGTTATTGGCAGAGAAGGGCAGCAGCGTTTCCTGAGAGGACGACTCTGACCTGCTGCACATGAGGCTCCTTGGCAAAAGATATCCTGGCCAGGCTTTGGGACTGCAGTTTCAGCTGCTGTCCCGTCAGCTCCCCCTCCTCGATGTCTACCAGACCTGCACGAGAAACCGTACGAGGCAGGTCGGGTTTAGCGATGCTTTGACAAAGTTAGCAGAAACTGGGCTGTAGACCACCCTGATAACAGGAACCAGCTTGCATTTAGTAGTTTCAGGTCTACCTGTGTTCTGTGCGTTGATGAAGGCCACTTTGTTGGTCCCCGGCTGGATTCGAATGAAACCACATTCTCTGTGCATTGGTTTGTTGGTCTCCGCATGAAACGCATTGAACCTGTAGAGAACAAAGAGTTAGCATTTTTATCTTTATTCTTATTTATCTCCAAATCTTTTAGTCAGGTTAGTGATCTGAATATTGGGCCTCATGCAAGAACCATTCGTACGAAYAGATTTGTTGTTGTGCGTACGACATGATTTAGGAGAATTTGTGGCATTCACCAATGTTTTCGTTTTCTAAGATTTTCTTCAGATACAAACAAATTTCACGAGTGGTCCAGACCTGTTGTATCTTTTACGAGCAGTCAGTCTGCTGTTATCCAGACGGATTTGATTTGATTTGATTTATTGATTTAACAGGAAAAGATTACTAAAAATCAAGCCTGACTCAGCATAATTGCTGTTTTA